CTGTCCGGCGTCTCCCTTCACCCACCCCCCTGCTGCCCGTCCCCCAGAGAGTAGGTTATACATAGCTCCCTGTAATAAGACAGTGTTTTATATTAATTTTTGCTCCCAAAGATGCGCTAGGTCTTATTTTCAGGGGACGTCTTATTTTTCCATGAACAGAATACGGTATACATTTATTGTTTTATTAAAAGACACCTTGCACTTCCTGTCTGCTCCAGCTGCGCTGCAGCCAACAGTGAGCTGCACGGCGGCGCCTGCCGCTGTGGTCCAGAGTCCAGAGTTACGGTAGCTTCGGGGGGACCTTATTTTCGGGGATGTCTTATTTCTGGGGGGAAGGCTTTATATTTCAGCGAGAGGCAAAACTGTAAGTAGGTCTTTTCAGGGGATGTCTTACTTTCGGGGAAACAGGGTAGTAGCTGAGCATGGAAATCACTTACTCCACCCAGAAAACAAGTCGAACCCACTGCCATGCAGTCTCCTCCAACCCAGAGTGACTGTAAGACAGATTAGACCTGCCCCACAGGAAGCACCCCACAGGGTGCCTGTACATCTGAGGGAGGTAGCCCGCCACCATCGTGCTCATAGCTGGTGGGTTGGAACCTGAGCACTTAACCGCTCTGCCACCAAGCTCTAAATAGATGTGGTCCCAGGACGTCTCGATGGGAGCTGCAGCTGCACCTGCCCTACCTCATAGGTTTGTGGCTCAGTGGGTTCCATCTCATAGTAAAATCGGCCCTTGGGGGTCTTCTAGACTTTTCTTTATGGGTGATCACCTCCTGGGGAGCAGCTGGTAGGCTTAACCCGCTGACGCTTAGCAGGCAAGCACTCAACCATTGCGCCACTAGGCCTCCTCCCCTCAAGTCAACACCATATAACTGTGTGTGTGTGTGTGCACCTCAGGGTCCTAGCAAAGGGCAGCCCCATCCCTGTGTCCCCCACACCCCTCCCAGGCTGGCGAGGATCTGGGCCGCAACTGCCAGCGCCCGCCAGCAGGGGGGGGCCTCGTCCGCCGAAATGCAACTCCAGACTTGCATTGGCCCGCGGTCCGGGTCTGGGGAAGGTGGGGTGGGGTGTGGGATGCAGGGCATCCCTCCGGCCTGGGTGCTCTGGGCCCACCAGGAAGCCGCCTATGCCAGGGGGCGCTTCGTCCTGTCTCCTGGAGGCCCAGGTACAGGCACAGCACGGCGGCGGGGCAACTGGTCGCCAACTTGCATTGACACTGCAAGCCTCAAACAAGGACCACAGCGCGCCCTGCCGGCCACACACCCAACTCATCAGCCCAAAGCGCACTGCGCTGGAGGGCGCCGCGGGCCTGGAAATGCTGCGGCCGAGACGGGCGGTGGGTGCACAGGCTCCTTCCTACTCGGGCTTTGGGCTGACGAGTTGGGTGTGTGGCCGGCAGGGCGCGCTGTGGTCCTTGTTTGAGGCTTGCAGTGTCTGCGTGGTCCGAGGCCTGTGAACCCAGCACGCACATCCTGCAGGCGTGGGCCCTGGCCTGCCTTCGGACCCAAGGGCTGGGTTTCTCTGCTCAGCCACACACGAGTACCTTCGTCCCTCACTGCCACAGGGCGACTCTCCGGCTGTTGTCAAAGAAGCACTTGTGAAGGCTGCCTGACACCACACACGAGCGTGCGCGCACACAGAGACACACACTCATATCCACACACCACAAACCAGACATGCACACACACACACATGCACATGCATGCACACACACATACATGCACGGCTGAGGGGCGGCCATCTCCCTGCCCAGCTTCAAGGCTGCAGGCTGCTCTTCCATTCCCCAGGGACTGCCAGTAACCATGGAGAGAGGAGGCCATGGGTGGGCAGGAAGAGGGGAAGTTTGGGGGACCAGGTCTCCCAGCTCCTCTCTGAGCCTCCCTTGCTCACCCTCCGTTCAGTCTTTCTTACCTTTCGCAGTGCAGGGGAGATCCGGGAGTGGGCAGGGGGAAGCCCCC